CTTTTCAAGATGTGAAGCAAAAATCTGACATTTGTCAGTATCTGAATAAGCAGTGACGCCGTTGTCAATAATTGGCCTATCACACTGATGCGTCCTCTTTAACATTTTTGTAAACTGCCAGAAGGCATCACTGTCTAAGTTTAACTCCTCCATTTTAACATTCCAAGCCTCACACTTTAATTTATGCATTTCAAGCTTAATATGCTTACTGATCCTATTTAACTCCGTTTTAATAATTGGGTCCCAGGTGATATTATACCTCCTTCGCAGCCTGTTTCTTTTCGGCTATGAGAGATTTGACGTACCTTGGAATCTTAGCGATTTTACAAGACCTTTGAGTAACCTTGGTGGCCTCATAGTAAGAGTCATTAAGACATGTAGTAAACTTATCAATCTCCTTGTCAATATCAGAAGGGCTTTTCATAGCACCTAATTTAGGGAGCCTCACTTTCACAACATTGTGGTACATTCTCCAGTCGGTATGGGTCTTAACATTCGTATAATTAATACTGGTGACCCCTAGTGTAGCAATCACAGGAGTATGATCAGAGCTTAAGTCGTCTCGAACCTCCAGCACCATATTAATTCCTGTATTAGTCAAGATGATATCTAGAATATCAGGAGTGTACCTGATGTTGCTGGGCCTGAACGTCGGTACGTCAGGCGCAAATATACCAACTGGGTGGTTACTGATATACTCTCTCAGTACTTTACCATTGTGATTAGTGCTACGGCAGCCCCAATCTTTATGCTTACTATTGAGGTCGCCACCAACAATCATTATTGAAGAATCCGGAATAATATTTTGTAACATTTCCTCAGTTAGCCTATTAGTAGGGGGTTGTAGATTGCCGCAAATAAGGTATCTCCAATCTTAGGCAAGCTAATAGAGGCAATCACAATTTCATAGCCCTTGTCTCTTTCAGTCGAAATTAAACAAGATGAATATTTACAATGAACGTAGATGAGTGCTCCACCTCCTCTGTGATGTAACCTATCACATCGGTAGGTTCTATAATTTTTGATGCTAACTCTGTCTCCTGGGGTGATGTGCGTCTCGGAGATCAGGCAAATATCAATGTCGTTCTCATACATAAAGTCCTCCAACTCATCTTTCTTTCCTCTTATGTTGTTAGCATTCCACACTAACATCTTGATTGGCCTAAAATTATTATCTTTCCTATCCATGATTGGGTTCATTATTGACCGCGTTGAAACTACTAGCATTGGCGCTAGGAGCTAAATTTACTTGTAGAATGCCGGAAGCCTTAATAGCCTCAACAAGGTTTTTAAGCCCTTCAAAAATACTTCTAGCTTCATCTAGAGTATTCATTGTTTGTTTGCCCGCCAACAGCGGCGGCATAAGATTTATTGATAATTACTCTATCACTGAAATTCTTCAAAGGCGGATTTTGAGTATTTATTTTGGGAAAATTCGGGCAACCCCTGTAGTTGCTTGTATGATCTAATTGGCAATTTATACACTTAGGTTTATCTTCTCTTGGCTTGGGGCAGTCTTTTGAATAATGATCGCCAGCGCATTTCATGCATTTCGGGTCATGCATACATCCTGCCTGGGCATGATGAAATGCTTGACACCGAAAGCATTGTACCGGCCCTTTCCTTCCTTTGTAAGCTTCTACTTTAACATTCAACAAACATAATTTAGTTATATTATGTATCCCTCTCGCTTTTTCATTCCTCTTCAAAATAACTAGAAACAGGGGCAGATTAAATTTTTTCTGCATTTCTGCGTCTTACTAATTGCGAGACTCGTTCAACTGGGAAACCTCTATTTATCAGTTCATCAGATATCTCTGAGGTTGGCGTGTCGATCGGTAAGCTGCGTATAACAACTTTAACCTTCTTGTTTTCGGGCAAAATAAATGAGTGATATTTCATTCCTTTGGCATTAAGTAATGCAGTTAAACTCTTATGAGTTTCTATACTGTCAACTTTAGCTCATAGTGGTCTTGAGCTTTCATTATACCTGATTTTAGCTTAATTCCTGCATCTTTAAACATTTCCTTATATTTTGACCAGGAGTATTTACCATCCTGTATAATAATCGGGGGAGCTTTATTGCTCACTTTATTTGGATGTATGAATTTATCCACATCCTGCTCATTATTTTCGGCAGAATTGGTACCAGTTTCATGATCATGAGCATCACCTATTAGCCCAGCCGGGCACGTGACCTCATCTGCAGCACCGATAGGCCGCACCATGCTTTCCGTCTGAGACGTACTCGCAGCCGGCTTTTCGGGGATCTCACTAGATGGCGCCACATTAGCGTGGGCTTTATCCATATTATCCACGTCTGGGGCTGTATCCATATTATCATAAGTTATTTCCGTGGTCGGCTCAGCTGTCGAAACTTCTGACAAAACAGAGGAATCCGTCAGAGTAGACTTTCGAGAGGGTTTTCTTAGTCTTCTAGTAAAATCTCCTTTAGGACCTGAGTCCGTGTCGGAGCTGTCTTCATTCAGTGCTTTATGTTTTTTCGACTGCTCTTCATCTGAGCGCGCAGGGCTGCTGGCTCGTCTGACATTAGTTTTGTTGATTCCAGTTATTGAAGAATCACTGTCATTAACCTTAGGAGCAGGGATGTTTGGTTTGGGAAGAGAAGTAGAAGAACGATCAGCGTTCAGTTCTCTGTCAATGAAAAGTTTGAGGCGTCGAAGGAATTTAAGGTCTCGTGCGTCCTTAGATGAGAGAGATCCATCAGCTTCTTTGATGCATTCTAAGTTGGTAATCTCAGAGGCAATAAAATCAATCATTCGATCCATGGTGGAGCGGATGGCAGAAAATGAAGCAGCGGAGAAAGCAACCAGAGTCTATTGCAATGCCGACCTACTGTTACAGCGGCATGCACTCTGATCAGGTATAATAAAAGAAGAGTTCTAATATCACAAAATCAGGAGCGAGCAGATGCACGTCTTAAAATGTGAGCGATGTTGCTGTCTGAAGTGACTCCTACCTCAACTTAAATAGTAACTTCCTACCCCAATTTTCATAAAGCGCGAAACTAAAATCTCATTCTGGCAAGAAAGCGAGGTTTGGAAAACGAGAGTTTAAATGAGAAAAATGAGAGTTAATTTATTTCCAAAATAAAATTATCTGTTAGGAAAATAAAATAAAACCCCAGAATCTTGTGTCTGATTTGGTTGTGGTTTTCGGGGTATGGGTTGGACTGATAAGAGTGATGATCTTCAAGGAAGAGGAGCTATCTAAAGCTAATGAGACTTCTGAGGATCATCGAACGTGTAAATACAAACTGAGTGGCGACGAAGACGATGACACAACAGTGACTTATGCCTATGATTTGGAAGCTGTAGCAGATGACAGAAACAACAGATTCAGCAGTATTAAATGATTTGAGGCCTAGAGAAAAGCAGAGGACAACAATAAGAGAGGACGAAATTCAATATTCCGAAATTAGAAATAATGATATCTTGTTAGATATTGGGAATGATAATATTACTAAGAAATCTTATTAAAATGTAAGTTCTTTTTAAAGAAAAAATTTAGGATAAATATCGGTAATTTAATCAATAATACTTTTCATTTGTTATTTTCTGACTGTAACCGCGTCTTTTGGAAATTGAATAATATGCGTAATTTCCCTTATGGTAAAATTAATACGAAAAGGGAGGGAAATTCAAGTGTAAATACGATACTCGGAAAGTCTTGGCACTTGTTTCGGTTCTTTTCCTAATTTTCAGTTTGTGTTTTTGTTTTTTAAGCTTTGCTTTTATATATCATTTGCTTGCTTTATTTATTTTGAATGTTTTTAACATTTGATGAAATTTTTCTATAAGAGAATAACATGAAAATGTTAGAATTTAACACTTCACCAACAGCTAGATAAAACTAATGGATCAGAGCGTTAGCTAGAACTTTAAATGTAAATATAGAAAATCATTTGGGTTAATATTCTTAACTATGTTTGCAGAGTCAAGAACTTGAAAGTTCAATTAAATTCAATACAAAAGATGCAAGTTTCGTGGCTGTTATCTCTTAAAAACCTGCTAACAACATCACATTACTCATATAGACGAGAAGAAGAAAAATATAGAGAAGAAAGGGGGGAATGTCGAAGATAATGTGCTCAATCAAATTTCTCCCCGCACTGGATGAATACAGCAGGCCAAAAACCGATTTTGATTTCATACAGCTGTCAATTCTGAGTTGGTGTCGAGCTGGTTCTGAGTAGGTATCCCCCCCAAAAAAAAAACTGTTATCAAATTTTTGCCAACTTTGTTATGCGCTAGTATAAATTATAAGCCTTTTTGTCCCTGTGACAATGTTAATTGTTTTCTAGTGTCAAACGTATATGCTGTGTCGATCCTATAACAGAATCTATTCTAAACAGTACTAGTCCTGTGCTGGTGTCTAATCTACACAAGCTCGATGGAGTGCCGGTGTCAATCCTACGTAGCATCGTTTCGATACCACTACACATTGGTTCTGTTACGAAATATTTCAATTAAATATTTTTATTTAGCCTCATTTTATTTATTTGTTTTTCAAATTTTCATGTTATAGTCTGATTTTTTTCCCTTCCACCTGGAAATTATATGACTTATACAATTTTTATCTTAAAAATTATGGTCAGCTTATTTAAGATAGGTCTTATCTAAATCGGATTATTTATTCGTTATTAAAAGAAATAGGAAGGAAAACTGTAAGATGATTTTTACTTATAGATTAATTTATACGTTATTTAATTTGTACGTAAAAATGAATTTGTGTTCATGTCAATCTATTTAAGACTTTATTTGAAAAAAAAAGAAAAGAAACACCTCGAAACGGGCGCGTTTAAGAGAACTGGACTCCGGTAATTTGTACGGCGCTGTACTCATTTCTTGAAGTTGCCCGCTTTGTATCATCATCTCTCTACAATGAAAATTCTCTTAAGCGTTCCTTGCGCTCTCCACTAGGGGCGCTAGCGTTGCGTTATGCCGACCTGATGTTTTTATTTATTTTTTTTTGTTCAAAATAGGTACTAAGCAGATTAGACCGAAGGCTACGGTACACATTTTGGAATGTAGAGAAAAAGTTATATTAAAAATGTTTCAGAAGAAGTGGATGGAATTGAGTGCATGAACAGTATTAGGTGTTGCTTGTGCAAATTTAACGTCTGTCTATTGCCTACATTTGTTTCAGGCGTCAATTGCTGTATTGCTGTGTTGAACTTCTATCGCAACTAATTTTCCTTACTAACTTTCAGTTCTGTATTGTTTTAAAGTTGGCTTCAATTTCAGTGTAAATATTTTATCGGACGACTGATGGATGATGACTTTTTTGTGCATTCCTTGTTCGTGATATAATTCAAAAACCAAACTCTTTATTAATGTTTAGTAACTGACAAAAGATTAGTGAGGGGCTGTACGGTTTCTATACGTCATGACCGAACAAGATATAGACTTTGAAAGTTTGCCTGCTGATGTTAAAGATAAACTAGCAGAATTAGAACTAGAACTTTCTGAAGGTGAGTGTATGATATACTTTTAGGATTTTCTGTTCAGTCTCTTTGAACCTATCCAATGAAGAGCTCGCGATCTGGCTTGTCACTAATAACTAATCATAGTTTGTTCATTTGGGATAAGGTTCCTGTCATACAACTATATCCTAATGTACTTTCAGTGATACATTTCTGTGAACATGACTAATACTGATGAAAACAAAACACAAAATTTTCAATTTTTAAAATAGGTGCAAATCTAATACAGTTCTGGACTCTGGTTTATTAGTTCTTACTGTGTCACTGACAGTTTCTGTTTTTATTGTCTATGTCCTATACTGAAGAGGTTAGCTTTCATATTAAATGCCTTTCTTATGGCTTGCCAAATTAAGGGGACAGTTGTATAATTTTTGAAAGATCATTACATTATACTTTTAATGACACATTTCTGTTTTTGGTGATATGACAGATATTGGTGAAATCTTAATACGAGTTTTCAGTGTTTGATTGTTGACAGTTAGACAAAAGTAGACTGGAATTATTATGGGTGTGTAGTAATCAGTTTTTTTTATGTTGATATTTTTTGGTCAGTTTCTTAATTAATTTTTTATACATATGTAGAAATGTAGATGCTGAATTTTATTTTATATTAATTCCATAGAGTGCAAAGAACCTTGTATTTGAAAATTGGCATTTTTATGCAATATAGTTCTGTAGTAATTTGGAGAAAAACACAATTTAAAATTATTAGGTAGCTGACTAGCAGTTCATTGGAGTAGGTAAGCTGTATACTGTTACATTCACCCGTCAGTTCAGAGCTTTGATTCTTAATATTCATTACGAAAGAAAATATTTTTGCCTTATGTAGTAGCTATATGTGTCTGCTTGATTTTTTGATTGTAAAGGTTTATAGTTTTTCTTTTTTCTTTTAGCCCGGTTTTAATCTTTTCCAGACATTTTGGGCATACTTGAGAAGCTATAAATAATCTTCCATAGTTAGTGAGAGCAAATGAAAAAAGAAATTTACGTTTTGGTTATTTGAAAGTTTCTATAAAATTACAGTTGTTAATCTAATCTCGAAAATGACTATTTTCATTTTGAGCTTTAATTCTATTCCAAGTGACTAAATATCTAACAACTTCTATATCTTATATTTTAAGGTATAGAATTGTCCAAATAAAAGTTTGTTGTGTTTATAGTACTTTTAAGGCACTGAAAGGTGTTAATATTAAGTTTCTAATGCTTAGCTGAGTTTTCATTTTCTGTGAAATTTACTATTAATTATAATTAATAATTATGTTTGATAATTTAACTGTTTGTCTGTGACAGAGTACTTATTTTAATGTCAAGCCAGTAGTGCATGTTAGGAGGAAGGCAAAGTTTCATAAAAATCGGTTGCTGTTGTAAACAGTTTCTCATGAGTTTTGTTCATCATTCTGTCCTTTTTGTCTTATGGTGAAACTTTCCTAAGATGACCATCCATAGTATCAGGCAATTTCGTGCAAAGTGATCGGCATAAACATGACTGTCAGTGATGTTTAGTACTTTTATTTAATTATGTTCTTGGGAATACTGGTGTTTTTTAAAGATGGTATCAATGAGATGTTTCACTGTATTTCCCTTCCATTTTATTACTCCGAATAGTTAGATTATAATAAATAATTAAATGCTTTTAATTATCTAAGCTGGAAGATTTTTAGGAGAGAAAAATATTTTCTAAATGTCATCGCAAATGTATGTAGGTCAATAATAAATTCAAAAAAAAAAAAAAATATATATATATATATATAAGATTACTATGTGCCATGTTTATATTATGCTTTGTTAGCTTCCATAGTTACAAAATAACAAAAACTTAACTTTGTAACTAAAATTGAATCATAACAAAAACTAAACTTTGTAACTAAAATTGAATGACTACCTTTTTGTATTAAAAATATTTTAATAGCATGGAATTTAATATGAAAATAATTTTAAACTTTTTTTGTTAGCTATTTGTAAGTTATCACTTAAGGAACATTTGGTACTTTTCCGTTTCGCCGGCGCAAATCTCGCCAAACAGACTTTGTTGGCGACAGCATATATACACACAAAAAAATGTTAACAAATGTTAGTTCTAGAATTTTTATTTAAGGCATAAATATTTAATTTGGTTTAAAATTTTATAAAAGCATAAATAAGGCAATAATTTGTAAAAAGACATAAATTTAAGAATTTCTATGCTTTCTGGTTCAACATCTGATTCGCCGGTCATATCACGTGAACCCAAGTGATCTCATCACACGTACCTATTCTACAAAATCTAATTCCTCAGTAATTATCTACATTAATTTCAAGTTAATTTAATTTGGAACTATACAAGTTAAATGCGAATTATTTAATTCGTCGAATAGCTTCTCAAAATTATGTAAAAACTTCAGTGCATCTCGTTAGAATTGATAAATTTAAAACCTTAATTTTGCCTTTTTCTATATTTCGCCTTCAGGAGCGGTGTGATTGTATTCCATTGACTTAATTATCTTCTTGTAAGCATTCTATTAATTTGTATGCCAGTATTGAAAGAAACAATCAATCTAATAAGAAAAGGGTGCGACTTGTTTTGAAAATGAAGCGCAAAAGGTTACCAGCGAAGATATTCCGTTTGGCGTACCATTATTGGCGACTTTGTCGTTTGCGCCGGCAAAACGGAAAAGTACCGAACATTTTTGTACATAGATGAAACATTTGTATTTGTTACATAATGAATATTACAAAAATGTCAGGAGTTTGAGTTACAACCATCTAATGAGCTTTTAAGTGCATAACTGCAATTAATGAAACTTTCCCGTGATTCAAGGGTTTTAAGTTAATGTACTAAAGGTACACATACACGTATGTGAGTGAAAATACGCTACCTAGAATATTAAGGCTTTTCTTACAAAATTCTAATTCAATATTTTTATTTCAGTTTTCCTTTTGATACTGAGCATTAACTTAATGTCGTGTAATGTATAGCTCTAAATATATGTGGAGCTTTTAGTGTATATTTTGACTAATCTTAATTTGTATCTTGCAGTAATGTTCTCTCAATTTAACTTGTGTATTTCATTAATGTTTTATAGATAACCTTTTTGATAATTTTAATGGCTCTGTTTGTTAACTAAAATTCAGTCTCAACTGAGAAAGGGAGATTTAGCAGCTATTCTTTAAAACTATATTTAGAGGACCTTTAAAAAATCAAAAACTTCAATATTTATACATTAAAATATATACAGTCAAAAGTCTTTAATCCTGACGTCCATAATCCGGAATGATCTATAATCCGGACCTCAAAGCTACAAACTTTCTGCGCATGCGTAAAGCACACATTATATAATATGCATAATATTTTTACACATGCACATAATACGTTTACGCAGGCGCGTTTAATGTATAATGAACAGTATAAGCTAAGCTAAAATTATCTAATTATCTATTCAGTTAATGTTCAGTTGCGTTGTTCCTTAATCTCTAATTTGGATCCGGCTTATTATTTTTTGCAGACGTTAGAAGCAGTTTAAAAAAGTAAGCTTGAACTTTCGATTTGTCAAAAAGATTTCCGATTCTGGAGCTCCCGAAGGATCTACAAAGCGAAAGCATGTTTGGTGTCATCAAACCAAAGTGGAATTGCTGCAAAAAATGGATAAAGGCATATCCTTTGTTTTCTCTAATCATTCCAATCTGTTTATCAATTTCACGCTGCTCTGGGGGGGGGGGGATGCGTGGCCCGCAGTGACTGGAATTATCTTCAGCATTGATCCTTATCTTCAGGGGCGATGTTTTTTATTGTATTTCGCTTAAATTCCTTACTAAAAATAGTATTCCATCTTGATGACTCCCGTTGTATGATTTAAAATTCCTCGCATAAATTCACGAATACACATCAAAGTTTTTGTGGTTTGCAATTTTTCTAATTTCGACTATGCATAATGTATGCTTTACACATGCGGGCGTTGAAAGAAATTTTTAAAGTAAACAAATAAATATTAAGCATTTTTTTGTAAATTTTGATACCCTTTAGATCATATTGCCCTTATTTCATAAATTAACAGTTTCATATTTAATTTTATAATCTCGCTTGCCATCTTACCAGATTTAAACTGATGATCTATAATCCGGAAAACCGATAATCCGGAATCGCCAAAGTCCTGACGAGTCCGGATTAAAGACTTTTGACTGTATATATTTTTTAATGAATATATTCACACATAAGTGCTGGGTATGAAAAAGTACTTGTCTTTAATTGTCTATTTCTGCTCTTGTGAAGTAGAGTACCTCTATATTGTTCTCTTCTTTACTGTAGAGATAAAGCTTTAAGAGTTCTTCAATGAAAGCTTTATTGTTTCAGTTTGATCAAAATTTTTAATTTATCACCCAAGCTGACATTCGTGCCATTAATGATGAGCACTTTTGATGGGATAGAATTTTAAAATTAATGAAGTCCAAAACTGTTATTAATATGAGCTTATTTTGGCTTGTAAAAAGATCAAGTAATCAGCATATAAATAGTTGAAAATTAAAGTTTTATGTATAAGGTGAAAATGCAAACTTTTTTAGGTATTAAAGAAGAGCATAAATTTCAGTGTTTGGAGTGACGAGTAAATAGGCTACTTAATAAAAGTGTAATTTGAATATTTGCATTTTCTAGTAATCTATGATATTGATAATTAGTAATAAAATTTATGCTATGTCTTGTACTTTACCTAATAGCTTAATATAATGTAAATGTAAATTTTAAAGGAGAGCTATTACAGCTCCTGATAAAAACCATTCAGTTTTACAAATTTAATAGTTTTCCTGCATTTAAAAATTAATAATACACTTAAGTGTAATAGTATTTTTTTAAGATTATAAATTAGGCTTTTGGTTCCTGTTTTATGTATTCATAAATTTTAATTACCGAAAGCTTAATGTATTATATAATTCAAAGTAGAAAAAAAATTATTTATCTTCTTTAAAGCTGCTGACACCAGGTGTATTATTCATTATTTATCCAAATCAGTTCTCAG